TTTTTTTTTTTTTTTTGCTTTGTTTACTATTAAATTTTGTCTTGTACAGCCCATTTTTGCATGTAATATCACTATGCAATAAAACACTATCTACATAAAACAACTTTAAATATGACAATTCATGTATTGTCTTTGATTGAAATGGTGTTGATAAATGACATTGAAGCTAACCAGAGTGAAGAAAAATACATAAATATCTCTTTACCATTTCAAATATTTATCCTAGACAGATGTAATGTTTTTATTATTTATTAGCTCTAAAAAGGGGAATATTTATGATGAATTATAACTGGTTATGATTCATAATAAATATTTAGATTATATCTTCGAATTAACTGTAGCAGAATCAATATTACAATTATTTGATCTGTCCGTCCACCGAGCAGACAATATAATCATTCTTCTCAAAATTGTCTCCTGAGACAAAAACTCTAACACTGTCACAATGGTCTCCTTTAAAGCTTTAGAAGAGTTCTCAACAATTTTACACACTGTGCTCAGATTTTTCTCCTACACTAAAGACTCGAGAGCTCTCACATTTGTCTCCTCTAAATTTCAGAAGTGATCTCAATAACTTTACAAAGTGTGCACCAAGTCAAATGCCTCACTATGAGCTCAAACATTTATTCCATATAATATGTATTAATAATCAAATTAGTCAATTAATTATCAAGACTGAGTCGTAAGCCATTTATGTGCCTTTCAGCAAAGAAAGCTCCAGGGTTACATTTTCTGTAGATCAGTTTTGATTAAGGCATCCGGTACATTACTATTTCCAACAACAAATTATGTGCCTAAGTACATAAACATTGTCCCATTAACATTATCCTTATTTCTGCATAATTTCTCTCTCAATATAGCCTTTAACCCCCCCCCCCTTTATTTAGTGCTTTTCAGGTACTTGACTTGATGCACACTTTGTAAAGTTGTTGAGATCTCTTCTAAAGCATTACAGGAGACAAATATGAGAACCCCAGATTATTTAGCTAAAGAGACAAATCTAAGCACACAGTGTGATGTTGTTGAGATCTCTAATCTGAACTTTTGAGGAGACAAAAGCTAAGGAGAAAAATCTGAGCACAGTGTGCGATGCTGTTGAGATCTTGTTTGAAACTTTGGAGGAGACAAATGTGAGACCACCAGAGTCTTTAGCTGAAGAGAAAAATCAGTGTGATATGCTGTTGAGATCTTGTTTGAAACTTTAGAGGAGACAAATGTGAGACCACCTCAGTCTCTAGCTAAGGAGAAAAATCTGAGCACAGTGTGTAATGTTGTTGAGATTTATTCTAAAGCTTTAAAGGAGAACATTGTGAGATTGTTAGAGTTTTTGTCTCAGAAGACAAGTTTGAGAAGTAGGAGACTCAAGCAAAAATCTCCATTCAATCTTAAAGTAACCTCATTTCTGTCTAGGAGACATATTTGAGATGTTAAAGAGATCTCACTTTTGATTTTTCTTTCCTATGGGCAGCCACTGGAACAATCAGACAGGAAGCAAACAGGGGCATTCAGACTATATGGTGCATGACACTTAAATATAGCCAGACTTTTCCCTCACGGTATCAAGCCTAGTCCACAATGCAGCTTATTTTGGCTAAGAAAATGCCTGTTTAAACAGCAAGAGATGGTCTGACCAAAATTGACCTTTTATGTGGCCACTGAGGGCGAGGTTTATCTGAAAGGGATTTTTCTTGTACATACAGACCTTGTGATAAAGATAGTTATCCACCCAAACTAACATACAATTTATTTCCGAGACTTACAAACAAAGCAAAATATGCAGTTCTGCTTGTTTACTTGCTATTAAGTGCTTCAAACATTTTTTTTTTCATCGATTTGATTCCACTAACCTGATAGATTCAAGATAAATTCAGTCATTAGTTCTTTCTGATCGACCCAGTACCTTTTAGGCGGATTGATAAAACAATAAATAATGGAATATGTGTTCCTTTATTTTAGAATGTTTCATAAAGCCAGCATTAGTCAGTAAATGTAAAATATGAAGAGTTTGGTTCCAAAACGCGATAAATGCCTTTTTTTTTTATTTAGTTTCCGTCAAAATCAGTATTGTATCTGGTCGGTATTGAAAAATCAGTTTTTAATTTTACGCAAAATGCGATATCCGCCGAGTTCCCTTTCAGTCGGTCACTCTCGACGTCACGTCGGAGGACCGACGAATTGGGATCTCACTTAGAGGGACCAATCTACTTCGAGTGTAAACTAAACGAGCCAATGCACATTGGCATGCGATTATTGCATCCAGCTGCTGCTGATCACAGCGTGAGTATAAGTAGGCAGCAGGTGCAGCGCATATTCAGCTTTTCGCTTTGGAGCCGAGCGATCACATCGTTCTGCTCCTGAATACTGAGAGAAAAGACTGAATGAGTTCTGCGCGCTCTTGGAGAGCTCTTTGTGTTGATGGACGGTGCTTCAGCGGTGGTGGTTTCCCGTGTCGAGTGGGTTGCACACATCAGGCTGCACTACCCCCTGTTTGTGTTGCAAATGATCATCTCCCCTGTGCAAGCTGCCTCCGCCTTACACGCTAGGGCGTGATTGCAAGTGCACCAGGCCAAGGCACTGAGGGACTTTTAAGTTCGCCGAGAACTCCGCACTGCGGCGGACCTCGTGCCACGAGCGACGAAAGATGCGGCGCGGTCTCTGGGTCGTGCGATGTCCACTATCTCCTTCGGGAAGGTTCGAGCTTCCGTAACATCGCTGTTCCAAGTAGAACGGGTGCGTTTCCCCAGTGTTATCCAGTCTACTCAGTGGGTAGTGCCATAGTAGCAGTAGCTGGTCCTCTTGTGCAGGCCCTGGCCTACGCCAAAAAGTAGGGGCGTAGTTGGCTTCCACAGGACACTGGAAGGGGCGGTAGCTGTGGCCTTTTGGTAGGATCCCAATTCGTCGGTCCTCCGACGTGACGTCGGGAGTGACCGACTGAAAGGGAACGTCTCGGTTACGTATGTAACCCTCGTTCCCTGAAGGAGGGAACGGAGACGTCACGTCCCGTCGCCACAGCTCCTGTACCACCGCTGAGCGGCCCGGGTCACCGGCTCGGCTCCAAAGCGAAAACCTGAATATGCGCTGCACCTGCTGCCTACTTATACTCACGCTGTGATCAGCAGCAGCTGGATGCAATAATCGCATGCCAATGATTCATAGTGTGTAGTTATTATAAAGTGTTACCAAATTATGTTGTCAGTGCCCTACAAATTAAGGGGTATTAGGATTTTTTTTGTCCCTAAAACTGACAGAAAAGGATAAGGCCTAAGAGATTTCTTAAGCTGTAAAAAAAAAAAAAAAAAAAAAAAATTACTTCGTTTAGTTTACACTCGAAGTAGATTGGTCCCTCTAAGCGAGATCCCAATTCGCCGGTCCTCCGACGTGACGTCTCCATTCCCTCCTTCAGGGAACGAGGGTTACATACGCAACCGAGACGTTATTCTGTCATGTTTTCTCCAAACCGCGACAAATGCCAGTCTCCCTTCTCTGCAGAATGCAATATATCCGCTCAACCAATCACAGTGCACCATTTCACACACTCTAGACATTAATGGCAGCGCTTTGAATACACCCAGCATCCTAGTTTTCCTCATCTACTTTGTACTTTGTGATCAACAAACAAACATTGTAAATGTACGATACCAATCTGCACGATAAATCGCATGTGATTGTCATGTGGAACTCGTCAGTAAAGCCGGTTCTGTGATTAATAGTAAATCTCCATCACGTGCTTTCAGATGGATACACAGAGCCATAGATCATTGACAAGCTATACAATATCGCATTCATAATCGCAGATGAGTCGCATTCGATTATGAACGCGATATTCCGTAGCTTTTCAGTGTAAGTGTTTTTATTAATGCCATTTATGTTTTTGTTAATACAGCGTATAGCACTAGTCAACTAAATGAATGTAACATGGCAAAGATGAATGCACTTTTGGAAGTTGAATGTAAGGGAAATCATCACGTGCTTTCAGATGGATACACAGAGCCATAGATCATTGACAAGCTATACAATATCGCATTCATAATCGCAGATGAGTCGCATTCGATTATGAACGCGATATTCCGTAGCTTTTCAGTGTAAGTGTTTTTATTAATGCCATTTATGTTTTTGTTAATACAGCGTATAGCACTAGTCAACTAAATGAATGTAACATGGCAAAGATGAATGCACTTTTGGAAGTTGAATGTAAGGGAAATATCATTTTGGAATTGCTGTGGTCTAATGTGATATTGTTGTTCATGTTATTTTATTGCTGTAATTAATTTATAGCATTAACAAGATGACCCGTTGAATTCATTTTGGGAGCGATGACTGATTGAATGTATTTTTAGTCCAGTGACTGCATATAAGATTAGTATTGACCAAGTTAATATGTGGATTAACTATGTTGCGTATTTTCAACAGTTTCAATATAAAAAATATATATTTTATATTGATTCAATGGATCTATTGCATTTTGAAAATAAATGCGTCATGGATTTATTACATTTTGGGGAAAAATAATAATAATATTTTATAACAAATATTTGAAAATCAAAATCTGGATTTGAATTTTTAATGTTATTAGGCTTTAAACTGCTGTAAAGATTTAATCCCTGACGTTTTAGGGTCTGCCTGTGGCCAGCCGTTTATGTGGAGGAGAAATGTAGCACAGAAGATTCCTTCATGTCAGTCTGTCTCCAAAATCTGCTACTGTGCTCTATAATGCTCTGTCTTTTTTTATCGTTGGTTATATCCACACCCTATTGTTGCTCTATGCGGCACTTGCGTTATTCCATCCCTGCTGTGTCTACATTTAGCGGCACTTAAAGGCTTCAAGTGTCAAGAGGTTCTTAAAAATCTATACCAAACCCCACCCAAGGCAGACAACAGCATTTTTAACTAAACCTTTCTCTCTTGATTTGTTTGTTACTCTTTCATGTTTTTTTCTGCTGTGAGCTTGCAGGGCATGAAATGGCAATATTACATTTCTCCACCTTTCTTTCTTATTGCAGACCGGAAGAAAGGAAAAAGGAGACCCATTAAATTCAGCTATTGACAAGATGACCAAGAAGACCCGTGATCTTCGCAGACAGGTGAGTCAGTCCTCTGTCTGCTGTCTTTCTAGAAAATAAGAAAATAAAAAGACTATGACCACTACATTGAAAGAAAGTAATATATTATCTCTTGTCATTCAAAATCTGTTTTTTTTATGAAACATTGTGTTACATGGAAACACAAAAGGACATAAATAAGGGATGAGGGGATGGTGATTGTAACTGTCAAGCTCCAAAAAGCACATAAAAGTATCATAAAAGTTGTATATATGACATGTGCACTATATTATGATAGCTTTGTGTAAGGAAGAGACTGACATTTAAGTAATTTTTCACTGAAGCTCTTCCGCTCTGCCATTTGAGTCCCTTTACAATAGCATCACACTTTAAGAACCACTGGTTTACTGAATCATCTTTTCTGAAAGCATCAGGTATTAACATTTGCACAAGGAAACATAAATATGTTTCCTTTGAGTCTGGAGATGATTCAAACCTCCAAATAAAAACAGACAAATGCTAAAAAGGGAACTGTAATGCACACCACTGAACTCTTTGTTGTATTTTTACTCAATGTTCAAGAAGACAAGTCTTTTGAGAACAGTTTAGGCTTAAATAACACCTCCTCACATTTCGGAACATCTGACTGTCGTGCATAAGAGCATCAAACACCAGTATGTCTCTAACTCAAGAAGCCGAGGTCCACACTCTTGACTTCAGCAATCAGCACAGCTTAAAAGCTCTTTTGATGCATTTTCTCTCTCCATCACCATGACAATGGAACAAAGTGTCAGATCAGTCAGCACTGATATAAACTAAAAACAGAGCCTAGACATAAAACTGCAAGGCATTAGACAGAAGCCCACTCCTATCAGACTGGCATTCCCATCAGGAGAGTTTTTGCTGTAAACGTAATAGCGAATCAACATTACATTACACTATTATGCGATACTATTACCTGACATTTGCATCAAGGAAATGAAGTATTCTGTCTGCTCTTCAGTTTAAAGAACAAGGCTAGATAAATATTTCACTGGTTAAGAGAAACATAGGCACTCCTGTCAGCCCAGTTAGGGCAAGATTTTCAATATAAAGCATCATAAATTTGACACATTGTTGTTGAATGACTTTAGAAGACTTGACATACTTTTGATACTTTATGGTGCTTTTTGTCATTCTGGAGTTTGATAGCACCCACACCCATTTACTACTTTTATTATAAGGAAAAGAGCAGGTAGGATATTGTTTACCAAAAAAAAAACAATCTTGTGTGTTCCTTGTAAGAAAGAAAGTCATATTCTAGGTTTGAAATAGCACGAGGGTGAGTAAATGGTGACAGAATTTTCATTTTGGGTGAACTATTCCTTTCATAAACTCACCATACAACACATTCAGGTAGGGAAAATTGTCCCTACACTCTAAGCATCAAGATGTCAGCTGTCAGAGAGCATACAATCACCATAGTCACCCTCAAGATTTCTTCACATGCTCTAGAAGATTGTTGTGTTCGACCATTCAAAACGTGTTTTGTGTTCTGGCAAAATAACATTTTTTTTTGCACTATTTTATTATAGTAGATGTTTTAACAGTGCCTGGTTATTTTTTGTACTGCTATTACAAGTTTGAAATGGACTCTTCCCTGTCTGCCTGTTTCCCTGTTGCTCATGCCATAACTCAGGATAGTCACTTGTGAAAGGTTTAAGACCAACAGCATCATTGGGGTATGTTCACACCTGGCTTGTTTGGTAAGTTTGTTTCAGAACCTGGCACATAGTCTTCCTCAATTTGGTTTGTTTAGGCTTATATTAACGCAAAAGTCTTGTTTATATCTGCACCAATACAATCAGTCCAAGATTGTCTGAACAAACCCTTTCAAGGAAAGTCTGTTCACTCAGTGTCCATATGTGCAATGTCTCCGGGCAGCTATTTCGGGCATCCAAGACCAAGTCCTATCTAAATGAATGGGAGAATCCTGAAATCTCAAAAACTGCTTGCCAAACTCACAATTGAATTGCATATATCAAATCAGCAACAAAATCTGAAATTGTCTGCCCCATAAATGTAGTTCCTTATGCTCAAATATCCTTAAAAAGGCTTATTTTTCAGGCTAGACTAGCCAATGCGCGAGTCTCAGGTTTATATGGGAACTGGAGCTTCTAAGGGCCGCTGCAGTGACACAAAGACTTTTCCAATCAGCGATTGGCTCTTTCACTTAGAAGGCGGGCATATTCTACCGTATTGCACGTTGCAGTTTCTCTCATTCATAAGTAATAGAAGTGAACCGTCTTTGTATATCTATAGTCTTTGGAACAAGCTGGTCTCTGCCCAATTAAAAATAAACTCTGCAGCAGTCCAGTTGTGGTGAGAAAGCAATCTAACCCAAAAGTGAACCGATGCCAGATTGCAACAATTTAAGGCACTGTTTCCGAACAAAGCATACAGTCTAAGGGTCTGATAATGCACTTAGTCAGATGGCATTCTGAAGTGATTGGCTCAAAAAGTTCTGTGGGGCCATGAGCAAGTGTAGCAGATTTTAAATCTCACACTTCCGGGTGGTCCTGGGACAGTTAAGATGAATATTAAAGCTAACAGATTGCCTTCTCCAGGTATTATAGACCTTCTTGGCCTGCCCCCACTGAGAGAAGACCCTCTTTACCCCACATCACAGTAAATCCACAGAGAGAGCAACTAACGTGGAATGGATGTTCGTTTTGAGCAGCCTGCTTTAATTACACTCTTGGACTTCAGGAGTGTGTTAGTGGGTGTATAAATCAGTCGGCGCAGAGGTTAAGAAGCAGTACACACACACACACAGCTGGAGATAGCACATGAACATTCACCATTTACCCTCCCCCCGGTTTGTACAGTCTTTTATAATTGGAAAACATCTTTTAAAATCTTCCCACTCCCACCCCCTTCACCAAGACTGTAAATTTGACGGGCGCATTTTCAGACTCAGCAGTCGTACATCACCTCCCTCGTTTTTGCTCATCTGCGCTCCTTCCCCCCCTAGCTGAACCACAAGGCCACACGTCCCGCTTCTTCTGTCACCCGCTTCGCTGGACCAATATTTAGAAAGCTGTAAACTTTTCCTGACACATGTATTGTAGTTACATGTCAGCTGAGGGAACCGGCTGTTTACAGATTTGCCAGGCCACGCATTTTTAATCCTCTTAAGACATTTATTTCATTATCTTTCATGGTCTGGGGGGGGCAAGATGTTTCCCTCACGGATGCATGGAGATTTTATGGTACAGTAAAGTGGTTTAAAGGAAATGAAAAGTGTTTGATAGCCCTTATTTACCCCGGCTTACTCCACTCCGGTGTCATCTCCCGGTAATTCTGGCTGATCACTTCCTGTTTCCTCTGCTGGTGAGCTCCATATGCTCTTGCATCTGATAAACCACCTCTCACCTTTACAACATGTCGCTAGAATCTCATCACAAAACAAATTACATTGTAATCACTTTAATGGGGTTTAAGTTCCCGAAAAAAAAAAAAAAACTTGCCAAGGGATCAAGGAGGATTCTAAGCAAGTTGCGGACCAAGCTGTTGATGTTTTTGATGTGAAATCCTTGCACATATGTTGGATGTTCTCATTATGTATTTTAATTTCAGAGTGATCTGTGAGCAGCACTCACTTGCTGTGATTGTTCTGTTGTTTACTGACCTTACAGAACATCTGTCACAGACTTTATTAAAGCAAAACAGCCCAAATCAGCTCTAAAATTAATTACAAATTGTTATTGGGTTGTATTAGTTGATTGCGGGAAAATGGTGCATTTCCTTCACTAGCACAGGAGTTAACTGATGCACAACTCACCCATCTAGAACGCAATACAACCTGTACGGCACGCTGTGGAACATGTGATATTTGCGTACATTTGCATTTATAGATCTGGGTAGACATATGTGCTAGTAATGGCATGGTTTGTGTGTGTGTGTACACGAGTAATTGCATTTCCTTCTCAAGGCTCAGCCACTGAAGGTATAAGATGCAAACCTCTGATCCGCTCAGGGCTTTTCAGACCCCTCAGTCAAATGAATGGAGGCATCGCCATCTCATCAAATCAGTCTCACCGGGGAAACATCCGAGTGTCTGTGGCAGCCGGCTTTGAGTTATTACTGTCTACCTGGCAAGAGAATATAACACCCCGACCAGTGCAAATCAAGCAATAACAGTGAGCCCTGTTCACGATTGCAGACATTGCAGAGGACCTCGCCGGATGATTTTCGTATCGCCCTTGCTGCTTAATCTGTGTTGTATTACATTTGCACTGTTTAGGTTCGGCATGGATTTATGAATGGTTTCTTTTTTTTTGGACAGACAGACAGACAGACAGACAGACAGACAGACAGACAGATAGATAGATAGATAGATAGATAGATAGATAGATAGATAGATAGATAGATAGATAGATAGATAGATAGATAGATACTGTAACAAATGCTAGTTGTTAGTTAATTTTAGTTAATTAGATAATGCATCAACTAAAGTTAACTAATCTAACATTATTGTAAAGTTATAGACAGACGAAGAAAGCAAGCAAAAAAGAAAGACACTCAAAACTAGCCTGCCCCAAGATTACTGGCAAAAAAAATGTTTTATTCAACATTGGAAAAACAAACAAATACCTGTATATGCATATATTTTCTTTCAGAGTTGCTTAAGTAATTATTATGGTTTGACTACTGGTGTGTGATTGTCTGTGTAAATAACTAATTATCAAATAATTAAATTACTTGTGTATGAAATAATTTCACATAGTAATTGTATTTTTATTAAAAAAATAAATACATATATACAAATGCTTCACAGTTCATAGGTAGACAGATATGGAAATTGTGGTTAACTCTTTCTTTGTTCTAATTTGAGTGTTTAGAGAAAGACAAACCAAGAGAGAGAGAGAGAGTACCGTCCACCATGCTGCTTTGTATAAATGCATAAGCAGGTCTTTATGCTACACAGGCATGCATATATATACATGCATATGCAAGATGCATCTATGCAACTTCAGCCCTGCAGTAAGATCTCTGACTAA